TAACTCTTCTTTAGCGGGGGCACACCAAATGTATCTAGTATTTTTATAATGGTTCTAAAACAAAGATAAATTCACTCAAAGATATACTTTAAAATATTCAGTATTTTATTGACATTGCAGCCTAAGCCAATAAATATACACACAGATGATTATATATTATATACAAATATACGAATTATTCAATATTATTTTAAATTAATAAGAGAAGTCCTAATATTTCTGCCCCCTCCCCCTCCCCTAATGTTCATATACGGAATTCCTGATATTCAATCCATTATGTATAGATGTATAAGTTAGAGAAGTCATTAAAAATAGTATAAAAATATTAAAGTCCCTTATTTCAAAAGTTTGGCCGCAATAAAACAAGGCAGTACAAATGTCCCAGCAACGATAGCTGCAGCAACAACGTGGTTTTTCACACGTTGTTCCAATGTCGTGTCCATGATATTTTCTTCGAAGATTTCATTTTCATTGTCGGCTGACAGCCATCTATTGATATCACTAGCTGGCAGATTTTCTGGTTCAATGTTGTTGTAAACTTCAATACGAATGTCACTTTCAGATTCTGATCGCTGCAAACTGATTCCATGTTCAGCATATTCACCTTCATGAAATGAGAATAACTGATTAGAGTTAATAAGAGCACATTAGTATTTAGTATAGTTTGTTAGTAAGTTAGTATTCAGTTACTTAGTTGGGTAGGTAATCAGGTGGTCTGTCAGTCGCTTGGTCTGGCGATCGGTTGGTTAGGGATTGTGTGGCGGTGGGATAATGTGGTTAAGCAATGTTTACACAAACCTGGGTAGAGCTCCAAGCTATCCTCGTATAAACCTTCGCTGGTCAGATCACAATCGTACAAGCTGCTGTCGGTCGATTCATGACCATGATTGACATTGCTGGTACAGCCATTAGATGGTGTATAGTTGTTACTGTCACGACATTCCAGAATCCATTGGTCAACATTACCATTGTTACTACAGTTCATATCACCATTCTCTTCAATCCAGTCATTACAACCACTTGTTGTTGCCACGGTGACTGGGTCTCCGTCAGAACTACAACTCAAGCAGGATACCACCTCCTTAGGAACAAGGCTATGACAAGAACTGTGAGAAGAAGCTCTGCTGTCTACGTCACAGGCCACATCATAACTCTGTCCTGACTCTATACCGGTACTAGCAGTACAACCATCATCCGAAATCAAAGACTCTTGACTTGAGTCAACTATTTTTTCCCAGTCATCGTCACCCAGTATCAATCCGATGTTACCACAGTCGCTTGGAAATACGAAGAATTCGTCTGGGAAATCTTCATCACAGCTCCCCTCAAATAAACTGTCCGAACTGTTGAAACTGAGAGAGAGTTTGAACTGTGTTGGGATGGTAGTGGGTGGAATGGTCTGGTTGTTGGATGTGGCTGGTAGATCATCAACACTGCTACTGGTTGTAATGCTGTCGTAGTCCGTGTCCACGTGTTCTTCACCCGATACGTCAATGGACTCTTCATCGCTCTCCACGTGACTATCACATGAGTCTGTCGTTTCTCCATCAGTAGTCAAGTGACTTTCGCACGATGAGTCGGTGGTTAAATCATCAATGTTCACATGGTCATCACGTGCTATGTCATTCTGGACAAGGATGGTTTTCTCAGATGGATTTGTGGAGATCTTTCGAAGTATTGCTCTCTTAGGTTTACCAAACAATTTGCAGATAACTTTGAAGATGATCGGCCTGTAAGAATAGTAGAAAGGAAATAATTATTGCATATGTCTTTCACTTCTGAGACAGAGGTTCGATTCCTGCAATATGCAGTTGGCTGATCATATTTCGTCGCATACAAGACGAGTGCCAAACCCCACAGGTCGTTTCCAGGTACCCCGGTTTCCTCTTGGGTGTGTCCCTCACTTAACCCATACGGAGGATAGTTTAGACCTGATAGAGCTATCCAGGAGAAATAAAGTTAGTTTAGTTTTGTTTATAAAGTCAGTATATCTTACCAGAGTCTAGCTCCATGTAATTTCCAGAGAGCAAGAAGGTAGGTTACAGCAATGAAACATTTCTGGCTTTCAGTCAGGCCGAATATGTAATTGATACTTTCTAAAAAGACGAAAGAAAAATGAGTTTCAAAATACAAATTGTAGAGAATGTATAAAAACCGATTTACACTACACAACTTTAGCCTAAAACTGTCGCATGCAACCTGCTTACAACTTGAGTTGTACTCATAGTTGTATGCCTGATTTATACAGTACAAATAAACAACACCGTACAACTCAAGTTGTAAGCAGGTTGCATGCGACAGTTTTAGGCTAAAGTTGTGTAGTGTAAATCAGCCTTATTGTCGATTTCAGGTAACTTTTCAACACGCTGTTCCCAAGTTCGTTGCGAACTTGCCAATTACGTTGTCAAGTTCGGAAGTTGGGCGTGAACTTCGCAACGAAGTTCGCAAGTTCATTTCAAAGTTCGAACTTTGATTGTAAACAAATGTTCATAGTTGGAGTTAAAATTACTGTATAAGGCCCTATGCACATATTTACTGCAGTAAAATATTGGTCCAGTGGTCTTCCAAGACGAAAAATGCCTTTTTAAATCAATTTATAAATGAAATTTTTACATTTGTTTACAATCGAAGTTCGAATTTTGAAGTGAACTTCGTTGCGAAGTTCCCACCCAACTTCCGAATTTGGAAACGTAATTGGCAAGTTGACAACAAACTTGGGAACCGCGGTTTGATTTTGAAAAGTAATATGAAATCGACAATAAAAAAGGGTAAGGAATAAGGTCAAAAAAGAATACATTTAAATTAAAGATTTAGTCTTACCATTAAAGAATGCCTGTACTTTTAAGCCAATGCCGGTCTGATTATTTCCGCTTGATGTTTCAGCTAAAATATACCGAAAAAAATTGACATTGATATGCTACATAGTAGAAAATATTTGTATTTGTGATAGATAAATTATAATTATTTTATTCACTGTTAAATTGGAAAATAACTCAACAGAATCTTGATGTACGGCATTGATAAACAATCTTTTAAATATACAGTTTTAATGTTTTATATAATTTAATAAATCCATTTAATTATATATTTTAGTATAGAAATGTGCGAGCGAAGTCACTGAATGAAATTCGCTTAGAAATACGAAAACAGACAAAATATTTCCGGAATGAAAGTTGGTTTGATTTGAAAAATACAAACACTTTAAAAAAAAATCACAAAAACTGTGAAAGTTGAAGAAAAAAAGCTGATAAAATCTTTAGACTATAAACAGAATATTGTAGGGAAGACAAAAATGTTTGATCGTGTGGATTTAAAACAATTTCAGAAAACAAAACAAAACTTGTATAAAGTTTATCGGAGAAATAAAAAACGTTTTGCAAAAAAAAGTTTTTTCGACTAATATAAAGCCCTTACCGAAAAGTCGTAGATTTTTCCGTTCGGCAGTTAGATTCTGTTTCTTTGCTTGTTCTGTCAGATTGTAAAGTTCAAATGAACTGTTGTTCTTCTTTAAAGTTGGAAAACACTGCTTTGAAGTGTTTAAATAAAAAGGACAACTTTCAGCAAAGCTATCAGTGATGGATTTTTGTAGCTTGCTTTGTCCTTGATTAGCATCGCTCACAATGTTGTTATTTGTGGCGAAGGAACTCACGAACCCATGTTCGGCGTTCATCGACTTATTGTCGTTGCCTGTCGAAGACAGGAAAAGTATTGAAAATACTATTTTAATCGCTAAATCTTCGCATAAAAACATTTTTCAAGAGCGCACAATTTTAGAACTTCTTCTCGAGAAAAAATTGTGCGAAATGATAGTTGCTTGGAAACAACGTCAATTTCTGATTGTTACGTCATGTAATTGGATAATTGGACAATTGGTCACGCGTGTAATTCACGTTACGCGCGTGAAATTGGCGAAAACATCTAGCGCAAAGTGTCACCGAGTTCACTTTTGATTTCGGTTTTTTAAAACGAAAAAATTCGTTCAGATAACTGAATTTGCTGTATATATTAAATAAAGATTGTAGTGCTCAAGCTGTTGTATTCATAAAAGTATCTGAACTCCCCCAATGGGAACCGGAACCCTGGCTAAAAGCCTTCCCCTCTGTAGCTCAGATGGTTGGACCGCTGCACCGAAATCGCAGGGCCTCGATTCCTGCCCGAAGGCCTAAGATCTTAATGATTCACAGCGACAATCACGGTCTGATAAATGTACATATAAATAATTTTTACGAAACAAAAATATCATTCCATCCATCAAAGACAAGCCATACCATCTTGCTTAAGGTTGTGTGGAAGGGGATTTGTCTTACAACGGGATAATGATCCGAAACACAACTTCTCACATGTGTAAAAATTATTTAAGAAGAAAGCAAGAGAAAGGTGATCTGGGTGTTATGGATTTTCCTCCTTAATCCCAGGACCTAAATCCTATTGAAAATTTATGGGATCATTTGAAACGAGAGAAAGTGAAACATGATCCCACAAGTAAAGACAACCTATGGGATGCCCTTAATCAATGCTGGAATAACCTTAAGCCAGCAGTACTTAGAACACTTGTTGAATCTATGCCAGGAAGAGTTAAAGGCTTAAAGTTTAAAATCAAAAGGAGGTCACACAAAATAATGTTCACTTGGCTGATATGATATAATCACTGTATACAAATTTCCATCTACAAAAACCTGCTTATATTTTAAGCCTAATCTTTGTTTTCATTGTCATTTAGGTGTTGGGATGCCTTACCCTGGTTAGTCAACCTCGAGTGAGTCTGAATGAGTTAGCAAGTGGTGAACAACTTGTACAGTTACTGAAGATGTGTGTGATGTCTGAAGGTGTCCCATCCAGTAACTGGAGTTCAGGAGATCAGTGGATTAGACACGCTTCTACCACGTTATTGCAAGATCTTGTAAGCGGTAAGTTAAATGAATATACATTGTATTATATAAGTATTATATAAGTATTATATACTTATAATATATAAACGATATTGAATTTGCAGTATAACTTGTTTAATTTGTTAACGATTTCAGAATTGTATTTTAAACTTAACGCATCATTTATTACTTCAGTTAATGTGGATTTACGACCACCACCATTAAAACCTAAACCCGAAGCAGCAGAGACACCGGATATCATCAAGACTGCTAGCGAACGGCCATCAGAGACCTCGGAAATCATCGACACACTCACGACTGTTGCCGAACCAGCAGAGACCTCAGAAATCATCGACACACCCACGACTGTTGCCGATCCGGCAGAGACCTCGGAAATCATCGAGACACCCACGACTGCTGCCGACCCTTCAATCGGAGATATCCCGGAGACCGACGAACCTGGCGATGATTCGTTCGCCGATTTCGGAATGTTCCACGACCTGTTCGGCGATTTGTCCATTAGCTCAGAAATTTCCGAACCCAAAGTCTCGGAAAACACAGTCCCCCAAATCATGGAAATGATCGTCGCTAAACCCAAATTAACTGCAAAGACTAAAGACACTAAAGAATCACCCGTTGTTTTCTCAACTCTGATTGTTCCTGTTTTAACTACTGCTGAAATATCAACGGCCGAAGATTGTAGACTTGAAATTAGTCTTGAGATGAAAGCCGAACAGGAACTGCGCCGTCTGGCTTTCACTAGCCGCCAGCGGTTTTTGACTGGAATGGATCTAAAGTCCGGGGTCGAATTTCCGGGTATCGCAGTTGCTGGCTTCCCAGGTTCGGGGATTGAAAGTTCCGGTGGTGAGAGTTCCAGTGGTGAGAGTTCCGGGGTTAGAAGTTCCGGGACTCAAAGCTCGGAGGGTCAAAGTTCCAGTGGTCAAAGTTCGGAGGGTCAAAGTTCCGAGTGTCAGAATTCAGACGTTGAAAATTCCAAGGGACAGAGCTCTGGAGTTCAAAATTCCAAGGGGCAAAGTTCCGAGGTTGGGAGTTCCGGGGTTAAAAATTCCTTGGTTGGGCTCCAAAATTCAGATACGCCGTATTTAGATAATGAGGAAAAAGAACATGGTAGCACAAAGACTTATCATTTCGTATCACAGTGTATTGGAAAGCTTATTGTTGATTCATTCAAGGGATGTTACGAAGTAGAGTCAGTTATAGAATTGTGTTTATTGTTAAACGATGACAGCAGTCAATCATTCTTAGTTACTCTGCAAGCCATGGAAGCTTCCCTAGAAGGGCTTTCTGCCGTAGAGGGGAAATCTGCCCGGTACTGGAACCTCGCCATTAGTTGGCTCAGAATGTTACTACGGCAAACTCAATATGTGTCAGTCAGCGGTGACTCCCATACTGACTACGTCACAGCCACGAACCTTGTTGGGAACTCGTGTTTTCCTCGCGTGATCGGGAAGATGTTGACCACGTGTGATATGGGGGATTCTGGGCAGAGTGTGCTGGGACCTTCTTTAGTGAAGAATTTCAAGTTGTTATTAAAGGAACTTTTGACTATGACATCAGTAGAACATCATGGGATAGATACTTCAAAGTTCCAAGAGGTCCTCCTGGATACATTGTTGTACATGACTGTCCAAAGGTGAGACATTGGTTAACCTCTTTCCTGCACTAAATCAATGATCAAACATCCTGTAGCTTTAAGACCCATTCAAACGATTGTACCATTTCGGAAAATCATCCTTCTGTAGTCAGATGAGTTTTGTTCTGCCATTACAATACTGCATAAACAGCTTGATTAAAAGTTTTGAGATTCAGGAACACAACAAACTAGCATTCTAAGCAATGGTATACATGCAGTTGTAGGTCAATTTTCCGTCTGTCGTGGCTTAATTGTACGGCTAGTACATGAGTCAAATGACCAACCAGTCACATAGACCTAATCTGCTAACGGATGTTTATGTCCCTTCTCAATTGCCACCTAATTCACATTTTCGGATAACTCACACACTTAGCAACTACTGTTCTGATATAGTAAGCATAGAATGGAACAAAGATAAGCAAGCATTTAAATTGTATATGTGAGTGAATTGGGTGACAACGGTCATGAACACGCGTAAGCCGATTAGCTATTCTACAAAGCTACCTTTGTGATGAAAGAATTTGCAATTGAGATGTAGTTCATAAACCTCTCTTTGTTTTTCTAGTGACTCCCAACTTCACTCCTCAAGGTCATATCCACTCGATGTCTGCATGGCTTTCTTGGAATTCCTTACACAAAACTTTCCAACGAATACACCATTCTCTGAACTGTCTAAACCAGTAAAAGTTGTCGACTCTATTATGTCCCTAATGCTCTCCTACCTATCTTCATCTAACCAAGTCTGCTCTGTGGCTAACTCTTCGAAGAAGAAATTCACTGCTTTATTTCCAACCCCAGGGTCGTCCCAAGATAGCTCGAACGATCCAAGTCGGGAGAAATTCCTACTACTTTGTCTCACTTTTTTGACAAAGCTATTTCCATTAAATACTGGTCAGTCTAAACTGTCTGACAATCTTGTCGCCGAGAACTCGACTATGGAAAAACTACTTGAATGTTTAAATATGTGTCGTGGTGAATCTTTTGAGCTTCTTGAAATCGGAGTGAATATTGTTTCAGGAGATTTGTCCGAGGTGCAAGGACTCGAGAAGCCGAGTTCAATTGAAGATGGCGTTATGAAGATATTCTGCCTGCTTTACAAGCATACTCAACAAAGAGATACAATTGTGCGTAGTTTGTTAAAGTTCTTTTCAAGTGATGTCCAAGGTGGTAAAACGCAGCAAGATTCGTACTATCATATCTCGGAGCTGCTACTCTGGATTTTACTTAAATTATTAGACTGTGATGTTAATTTTCAAATATTTTGCGAAAATGGTAAGTCCTTTGAAATAAAATAGGAATCTAGGAATCGTCTCATTCACAAAAACATCATGGAAATTTAGACCTTTGTATGCAAGGCAGCTTGAGATTTGAGTATCATACCCCTAGATCCACCAGTGATAAATTGTCCCGACTGAGGGCTCTTTTCCACCCATCGCAGAAATCAACTCGGCTGCTCGTTGCTAGTGCCTGCATCTAATTAAACTAAACTGTCGAGCATTGTGATTGGATGAAAGCACTTGCATCGAGTTTGCGAGTTCAAAAGAAGCTTGGCACTAGAGATAGATGCCCATCAAACCAAAACCATCTGCATAGATCACACTATGCAAAGTTAATGCACATCGACAAAACAAACTTTATCACTTCCCCCCCCCCCCCCCCCCC